CATAAAGTTGAATGACCTTTTTTGTCTTTTTATAGAATAGTAAAACTTAAAAAGAGCTTAATAATTTAAGTATTGGGGTGAACCTAAAGTGTGGGGTTTAAATAGAAAAACTCAAAAAAAAAACTCAACACTTCTTGGGTCACTATTAAACAAACAAACAAAATGAGCACAAGGTGAAGCTTATAATTCATTGGGTCACTATTACAATCAACTTATTTGTCAATAATGTTAGCAGATTTATTCTTATATGTAGATTACAATTTCATTATTGAGTCTTGGTTTGTCATTTTGGTACGTCATATGTTTGCTTCGAAGTGATCATGTGGCAATACTGGGCGCAATGAGCAAAACATGAATTTGTGGAGACAAACAAATGATCATAACATGATTTACGAAAGTACAGAGTCTTTCTGACAACTATTACTTAGTGAGTTAATCAAAGTATAACAAAGACATAATTTGGAAGGAAGATAAAAAGAAAAACACAAAGAATAAATGAAATATAGAAAAACCAAAGGCGAAAGTTTAAAAGGAAAAAGGAAAATAAATGAGATAGAGGCCACAATTTAAAGATGGATGCTAAGTGCTTCGGGAAGCAATAATATTTGTTGTGTAATATATCTCTTTGACCAATATACAACTCAAAACAACATACCATGCAAATGCAAGTGTGCATTTCAAAATCAATGTGTGAAATGATCATTAGGCAAGCATCTTGGTCAAGTTCACCTCTGTTTTTTTTTTTTTTTTTTTTTTTTTTTTTTTTTTTGTGTTTTTTTTTTTTTTTTTTTTGTTTTTTGTTTTAAAAAGATGCTTTATTATAACACCATAAGAGTATACATCGGAGAGGATGAAAACATCTGAAACCCAATGCGAAAGCCATGAACAAGAGCGTGATCTTAAAAAGATTCACGGCGCAAGGCACAAGTCACCTACTTAAAGATTAATTTTAATTTAAATGGACAATTTTACTCTTTAATTTAACAGCAATATTAACCGTCTTTAACGGTGGGATCGTTTTGATACCAAATGAAGAGTTGGAGGACTATTGAAATGAAATTGGTGGACCTAAATTATACTATAGCAAAAGTTGGGGGACCATTTCAGTCGAAAATCCTATTTTATTTGAGTATGTAAAAAAAATATGTAAGAAAATTGATCTAAAGTTACTGAACTGTATTATTGCAAGTTAAAATGCAGTTCAATTCAATAGAGGTAAAAATAGTTCAACAACCATTTTGAACGCTCTGAAAGACAAGAAGTAATACAAAAGGGCTATCTTTATTAGACAAAGAAAAGCATGTGGTAGAGCAGTTTCAATAAATGAAGCTGGTGGATTCCATCAACAATAATGCGCTGAGCCTCCATACTTGAAGCTTAGTGAGAAAATATATTAGAAACGAAAAAGGTTTGGAGTGTTAGGCAGGGCCTTGCAAAAGATGGCGGTGAACTTGAGAGTGAGGGAGTCAATGGTGGTGAAGCCAGAGGAGGAAACGCCAAAACAGGCGCTGTGGATATCGGACTTGGATTTCGTGATTTCGAGAACTCACGTTGGAAGTGTTTACTTCTACAGGAGGCCAAACGTTCAAAACGGCGCGCATCATCTTCAAAACAACTGTGTCTTGGATTCGGAGGTGTTCAAGTGCTCCCTTGCCAAGGCCCTCGTGCCCTTCTACCCCATGGCCGGCCGCCTTAAGCTGAACGATGAGGGACGTATCGAGATCGATTGCAATGCAGAGGGAGTGCTGTTTGTTGTGGCGGAGACTGACTCGGTCCTCGATGATTTCGGGGACTTTGCGCCGACTCTTGAGTTCCGGAAGCTCATTCCTGCCGTTGATTATTCCGCTGGGATATCCTCTTATCCCCTCTTGGTCTTACAGGTATTCAGAGAAAGAGAGGAGACATTTTTTCACTCCCTAATTTCACAAGAGTTGAAATCTTTTTACCATTTTCGTTTTGAATTTAGTTTATTTTAATTATTTTTTTCCTAAAGATAAGGTGACTCTTTGGTTAATATACATATAGCTACTTGCTGATACTAGGAAAGTTTCTCGAACCATGTCCTGAAATCAACTCATTTATAATCCATTAGTTACTGTGGAGTGGACTTTATTATGAATCGTATATCTATTTTGAAATCTATATTCTGTTTTGATACTTCTAATTATAGTTTTCCTTGTACTAGTAGAATGTGGGTCGGAGTCCTCTTACACCATTTATGTATTGGGAGTTTCACTAAAACACCCGAAATGGGGGTTGAAATTATTAAAAAACCCAACACCCTAAACACTTTATAAACACACCCAAAACCCATCATTACACTCACACAAGACCCATTTACACCCAAAAAATATACAATTGTTGATTTTGGGGTTGCTTTTGGGTGTGTTTCTATGTTTAAATAGTGCGTGGGTTTTTTTATAAATACATGTCTAGGATTGGGTTTATTTATAATAATCTATTATGTATTTAACTGTAAAAGAAAATTTTTAGAATACTACCTTACTTGGATTGTTCTGTTTAGTTTCACATGTTGCCACTTGGATGAGATTATTCTTTCAAATTAAGTTACGATCTACGTCTTATATGTATATACATAATATACCATGTTCTTAAACTTGAATTAAGCTTACAAAGTATGCATGCTTGTGGATTGTACTCTGTACATGCCTCAGGTCACATACTTCAAATGTGGTGGAGTGTCACTCGGTGTTGGCCTGGAACATCGTGTAGCAGATGGAGTTTCTGGTCTCCACTTTGTAAATACATGGTCTGATATCGCTCGTGGGTATGACATTACAATTCCACCATTTATCGATAGGACATTACTTCGTGCCCGAGACCCCCCCCAACCTGCATTCCATCACATCGAATACCAACCTGATCCGCCCATAAAAACCCCTCCGCGGAGCACAAACGCTGGTAGTGTTGAAAGCACAACTGTCTCCATTTTTAGATTGACGCAGGAGCAGCTCAACATGTTGAAGGCCTAGTCTAAGGAAGATGGGAACACAATCGAATTTAGCACATTTGAGATGTTGGCAGGTCATGTTTGGCGATGCGCATCAAATGCATGCACGCCAACTTCTTGATGATCAAGAGACCAAACTACACGTTGCCCTTGACGGAAGGTCCAGACTGGAGCCGCCGCTCCCGCCTGGTTTCTTTGGCAATGTGGTTTTTGCAGCTGCCCCAATCGCTGCAGCAGGGAATCTCAAATCAAAACCAACATGGTATGCTGCAAGTTGTGTGCATGATGCTGTGGTGCGAATGGATAATGATTATCTTAGATCAGCACTTGACTATCTGAAACTTGAGCCTGATTTGTCGAGCCTTGTTCGTGGGGCTCATACTTTTAGGTGCCCAAGACTTGGGATAGCTAGTTGGGCTAGGCTGCCGATTCATGATGCTGACTTTGGTTGGGGTCGACCTATTTTCATGGGACCTGGTGGAATTGGATATGAGGGGTTGGCTGTGGTTTTACCTAGTGTATCAAATTATGGGAGTTTATCAGTGGCCATTTCTTTGCAATCTGAACATATGAAATCATTTTCCAAGTTGTTGTATGACATATGAGGACATGAAAATGCCTGAAAAAGGATTTCCGGGCATTCCATTTTCTTCTAGTCTAGCTGATGGGAAGCAAGCTATCTTTTGTTATTGTGATGTTTACTATTAAAGAACTTAATCTGTTTTTATGAAATAATGGGAAATTATTTCTGTTGCATAATGGATAATGCATGTGGTAGTTCTACAGTCTGGTTCAACTTTCAGGAATTTCGGTTTAATGCAAGACCTCTTGATTTGTCTGGATTTTGGTCATGTTTATCTTTTTCCTCGTCTCTGGATGGGTCTTTTTTTCTTTTGGCATCTAATAATATATCGGGTAAATTACTTAAATGGTCTTCAAACTTATACCCGATTTATATTTTGGTCCCTCAATTAAATTATTCGTTCAAATGATCCATCAACTCTTTACTATTCGTCGATTTGGTCATACCGTCTAATTCCGTCAATATTACCGTTAATTTAGGGTTTAAAATCGTCAATTTATACTAAAATTCTAATAACTTAATTAAAATCTATATAAGCCTATAAAATACTATAAAAATCAGAAAATTTAAAAGCTGAAATGCCCATTATTCAAAAAACCAATAAATAATAAATAAATGAAAAAAATAAAAAATAAAAAAACCACCAGAACCCGCCCCCACCTCCATCTCTACAACCCTCCCCATCAATCCAATGTAAATCAACAAACTCCCATTTTTCATTTTCTCCAGACAGTCATTGCATCCAAGAATCACCAAAATATGAAATTTAATTCTACATTTCTTCCACAACCAAACATAATGTCTAAATTGTTTTAAAGGAAATTTTAACTTAAATGATAAGAATATGAGCTTTTGGCTCTGTTGCTTCACCTCAGCATGCTGAGGCTTTGGCGCTGAGAGAAGGGCTGAAACTAATTAAACATCTTGGTAGTTGGTAGTGGTCTGTTTGTGGTGGAAGCTGATGTTTTGTCAGTTATTCAGGCTGTTTTGGGACCTAGGGATGATCACTCCCATGTGGGCATGCTGATTGATGATTGTCGTTTCTTAAGGAGTTGTATGTCGCTTCTATTTGTTTTGTTCCTAGAGAAGCCAACAAAGTGGCCCATAGGCTTGCTGCTTTTGCAGTCTCCCTCACTAATACTTCCTCTTGGGTTTTGGGATGCTCCCGGACTCATTCAGCATGTGATAATTGAGGACCTCTTGTAACTTGTTTTTTTTCTTCAATAATTGAAATCGTTCTCTCTCAAAAACAAGAGTATGTGCTATCCACCCACCAATAATAGAAGAAATTTATCAGCTTAAAATCATGCAAGTCTTCCACAGATTGGATTTCAAGTTTGATTGATTTACTTCTGGTTGTTGTTGTGGGTTTTGGTTTAAGTTGTAACCACAAGAAAGAGGTCCTAATTTTCTTTTCTTAAAAGCCAAAGAAAAAAGAAATATGGGGGAGAAGGTGACCGTGAGCGTAAGGGAGTTGAGTGTGGTGAGGCCAGCTGAGGAGTCGACGCCTCGGGGCTCGTTGTGGCTCAAATGTGGAGGCGTGTCACTTGGTGTTGGCATGGATCACCGCATTGCAGATGGAACTTCTGCCCTCCCTTTTTTAAATACGTGGTCTGATATTGCTCGTGGTGATTTCACAAATTTTAAACCACCCTTCATGGACCGGACATTACTTCGTGCCCGAGACCCACCTCAGCCTGCATTCCCCCACATTGAATTCCAATCCCCTCCACAAATGAAATTACAACGCAGTACAAGTAATATTACTACGTCCCTTTTCAGAATCACGTATGAGCAGCTCGGCATCTTGAAAGCCAAATCTAAGGAAGATGGCGGAGGGAACTATACCTCATTTGAGATGTTGGCAGGTCATATTTGGAGATGTGTTTGCATGGCACGTAAACTTCCTGATGATCAAGAAGCCAAACTACTCATTCCCACTGATGGACGGTCCAGATTGCTGCCTCCACTCCCACTTGGTTTCTTTGGCAATGTCACTTTCCGAACCTCAGAAATTGCTGCAGCAGGGGATCTCCAATCGAAACCAACTTGGTATGCTGCAAGTTGCGTTCACAATGCTTTGGTGCAGATGCACAACGACTATCTTTTATCAGTCATTGACCATCTTGAGCTTCATGCTCCTTCTCAAGCCGAAACTTTTAACGGAATTTCGTTGATTGGGCGCCCGTTTCTTCGGATAAACAGTTGGATTAGGCTCCCGATTCACGATGCTGATTTTGGTTGGGGTCGACCCATTTTCATGGGGCCTGGTCGCCCATTTCCATTTGACGGGAAGGCTTTGTTGTTACCAAGCGCAACTAACGATGGGAGTTTATCACTCGTCATTTCTCTGCAATCTGAGCACATGAAATCATTTTCCAAGTTGTTGTATGACATACAAGGCCCCAATCTTAAGAGGGCCCCAAAATTATGACTTTGTTCAAGTGATGTAAACGTTTCTAATCTCTAATAAATTTCTTCAGATGTTTGACAAAAATAAAAATAAAAATTTCATGTTGTCATGCATAGATATAGACAGTCACAGTCTAATCCAACTAGTTATTGCAAGTAGTTAGCTGCACAAAAAAAAAAAAAATTTCTTCTAAAACCTAATTGTTATTCAAAGATCATTCATAGAAAAATATATATTTTCTGTTTTCGGGTCAAATAAGATTCCATCTGTTTTCGGTGTTGGTACTCTATAAATTTTTTTTCAACGATCCAAACCATTGATCTATTTTTCAAGTTTGATTTATTTTTCAAGTTTTAATTCATAGATCATCCTTACAAAAAATCAGATACAATCTCATTGAATCGAAGCAAACATATTGGAGGGATCAAAAAGTAGCAAATCAAATGAAGGAAGAGAAAAGTAATAGAACAAAAGAGGACAAAAATCCTCTAATTGCTGCAAATTTCGTGAACCCATTTACCTCCAGAAGCTGAGTCTAGAAGATTCAAATAAGTACAATGAAAAAGTGGGAAGCAAACCACACCAAAAAAAAAAGGAAAAAGTAATTAAAATGAATTATGCAGATTAAAAGAAATAGCAAAGGCATTGCAGTAAATTATGCAGAAAGCCTTTCCTAAATCAAACAAGACCATAACGGAAAACAGATGGAAAACAAGTCAACCACAGAGCCAGAATGTTAAACATAATGAAGACCCTGAGTTGCTCAAAGTTTTCTAAAGCCTGTTTACCTTCAGAGTCTAGAAGACGATTCAAACAAGCCAACAGATTTAAATCCTCTAAACTTGCAACTTGCGGTGCATGGAATCAGGACTAAACAAGCTTAGGACAGAAGCCAAATCAGATGTATAAATTTCCTTTTACTGCACAAGTGAGTTAAAGATCTTATGTGATCATTTTTGTCTTTCCACTTAACTTCCATCCATCCATCAAATCAGATGTATAAAATTCTTGTTTGACCAGAATGATCAACAAATCAACGAAGGAGAAAAACAATCAGTATAGGGAAGCCGCGACAAACTTGGAAAATTAGGACATAAGCAACGAAAGGAAATTTGCATGCTACAATTCCATAATGAGGAAAACCATAATAGATACAGCTTCCCCCTCAGTTTCTGTAATATTAGGAGGATCAATAAAAGTACAGATATATTTCGATAAAAACTTGAATCAGTTTGTACACTTCTGTGGTTATAGACTTGACATGATTAATTTGAAGTGATTCACATTACAAACAAAAAAGGAATACAACAACAAACAACTTAGTAGGCTTTGTACTTGAGTTATCACATCAAATAGAAACTTCTCCACTCCAGTTGGAATACCAAAATCCGCGGGAGGATGCCTTCATTGAACAATGGCAGAGTTTTGAGTTTGCATGGTAATCTGCGCTTGGTTTGAAGCAACAGACACCGGATGCATAGCCCAAAAATGAGCGAACCACCTGAACCTTGGTATGACCCTCTTTTGATGGTTGTGGCGGCGCTACGAATAGATGAGACAAGAGCCTTTCCGCTGTTAATCTTTCCATGGACTTCATGGCGAGGCAACTCTTGGGAAATCCCTGGCCGCATCTGAGATTCCAGTCGGAATTTTGCAAGTACATAGATGATCAAACATCAACATGTCATGGAGATTGTTAGGATTGTAACCATCACAAGGAGACTTTCCGGTTAGCATCTCAAACACAATACAACTAAGAGACCAAATAAAAGCCTGTGGGGACAGATACCTAGGCGTGTTTCTCCATCGGCTGTAATTCTCCTTGGGTTTCTTAGCCAATCCGAAATCTGCAATCTTGGCTACAAAACTAGTACCACCCGAACTAGTAGTGGTGGTACGCACAAGCAGAATGTTGTCCGGTTTCAAATCACAGTGATCATAGTCACACTTGTGAATCCCTTCAAGAATTGACCTTGTGTACCTTCTAACGTCATATTCAGGTAATTTATGACCTTTGGAAACTGTCACATGCGGTATTAAATTATCTTGCATTATTGTGAAACTGTCGATATTAAATTAGTCTTATACACAAATACAAGGTTAATTATCAAGATAAGTAACTATATATGGATTAATTGCGATGCTGGTGTAGGAATATCGGCCCTTCACAACGTGCGTGGTACATTTGGATACGTGAAGGCAGGGCAGGGCGCAAGATTGGTTTTGCAGCTAGGGGAAATTTTATTTTATTTTATTTTAATTTTTACCTTCCGCTGAATTTTCTTGGAAACTTTCTGTCACTGTGTGGAGTCGCTAATTGACAAACATATTCAACTGCAATATCTAGCAATGCGTTTTTGGTCCTGCAAGGCGAGGTGTAAGTCTTGAAGCGTTGAGGCGTAAGCCTTTTGAGACATAAATTATTTTTATAATTATAAGAAAAATTTATAAATAATACAATATAATTAAACTAAACCACTAATTGTCATTGAAGCTTAATAATTAATCAAATATAAGTACTAATTATAATAGTGAATTCTAATAGAAATATAAGTACTAATTAAAACTCAATTGGTCATACAGTTGAGAGGGAGGCTGGTTCATAAATTAAGAGGGTTAGAGCTTAATAGATATGCGGCTAAGAAGAATGAATTTGGGCTTTAAGTCTGTTTGATTTGATTGTATTGGGTAGGAGAGAGAGATTGATTTGTTAAACCAAATAATAACTTTTGCAAAAAAATAAAAAATATAAAAGTTTAAAACAACACCCAAAACGCACAGGTTCATTAAAACCCTAAGGTGACCCCCCACAACTAAAACGATGTTGTCTCAAGGAAAAATAAACAGAGGGTTCAACAAATCATCTTCTTCCTTGCGTAGCTCCGCCTCACACGGTAAAGCGCACGCCACACACGGTAGAGCGAACGCCACACACTGCAGAGCGCACGCCTTCTTACGCCTCACTGTCGATGCGCACACTAAGCGTGCAAACAACTAAACAAGGCAACTCCTGAGGCGATTTGCTCTCACCTCACTCCGACGCGCTCCTACTCATGCCTTTGAAAACACTGTTCAAGCGTTTGGAATTCTGATCGTAGCCAAATTGATGGTCTTCTAGTGATGCTCTTGCTTCTCTTCTTTAGAATTATGATCATAGCCAAATTCTCTTCTTTAGAATTATGATCGTAGCCAAATTGATAATAGTGTTGGAGGAATTTATCTTTCGTGATTTAAACAATATCGCTACAGGCACCAACTTATTTACCAACTTTTGGATACCAACACATAAGGCACATGACATGGCAACCCATGTCATCTACCATATCATATGTTTTGGTTACATAATTTGTTATTAAAAAATGAATTTCACACAGCAAATATAAAAACAGAATTTTTTATTTTTTTTTTTGTTCTAAATCAGTGCATTAATAAACCCAAAAGGGTAAGAAATACACAACTGGAACATCAAGAGAAACAAATACAAAAGGGGGAGAATCCACTAGAACCAAGCTCCGGACTAGCTAAAGGATCAGAACACCTAACAAAAATGAAAACTAAACAAAAACGGGGCACTAAAGTGTCCCGATACAAAAGTGACACAAAAAATAAAAACCAAGCACACAGCGCCGCCACCACCGCATAAATCTGTTAGCGAGATATCCTATTCTATTAGGATATTATTTTATTTGTTTCCTTTTGTATGGATATTATGTAATTAGGATTCCACTTATTTTCCTAGTTTAACCCTACTAGGGTTTGTAACCTTGTATTATAAATACCTCCTTTTGGAGAATGAAATATATTTGAAAATATTCTACCATATTGTTTGAATTGGTATCAGAGCCTGGTTTCTGGTGACCTTTGTGTGCTGTGCCCACCCGTGTTCTACTGTGTGTCCTAATTTCTTTTAGGGTTCTTGTGCCCGTGCCTGTGCTATGTTTGTCGTATCTGATTCGTGTTGTGTTTTTTTTCCTCTGCTATCATGGGTGATGATTCCAAGGTTGTGATTGGTACTAGTGCGTCTACACCGAAGGAGGCACGTCCCTCGCGTGATTACTCTACCCTGATTATTTCTGACAAATTGGATGGCTCCAATTATGCATCTTGGTCTCGTGGTGCGCGTATTACGATTACTAGTCGTCGTATGGCAAGTTGGATCAATGTGAAGAAGCCTGCTACGTCTCCAAATTCCGCTGCCTATGCCGAATGGGAAGAAGATAGTTGCCTGGTGCAGTCATGGCTTCTCAATTCCATGACTAAACCAGTTCGTGCCTTATTTGAACATGGTGATACTGCTTTTGATATATGGGAGGCTGCTCGGAAGACCTATACTGTGACTCAGAATAGTTCTCATTTGTTTCAACTCCGACGGCAGTCCATACTTACAGGTCAGAATGGTGAATCTGTGAAAGTGTTCTATGAAAAACTCCACGCTATCTGGCAAGAGATTGATTGTCTGAGTCCGCATGAGTTTAGTTGTTCTACTGATGAGGCTCGTCGTCTGAAAGAAATTGAAGCCGATCGAGTTTATGATTTTCTTGGCGGACTTGATCCACCGTATGATGGTGCCCCGTAGCCGTATTCTTGCTCTCCCCCCCTCCC